CTTTTTTTTTCCTTCTCTTTTTTCTTCGATTGCTTCCTCTTGCTTCTCTTCTTGGTGGCTTCTTTCTTCTCTGCCCCAATGTCTCCCCTTCTCCGCCATTTCCACACTTTTTTCATGCGTCATCCAGTATGTAGATATTGAATTGTTTGTATATATCTGTAAGTATGGTGTCATCCGAAGGTTTGTAAGGCATTAGATGGAGATACGACTCAAAAAAGAGGGTATTGTAGCATCATAAATCGTTGAAAAGGTTAATGAAGTGTTACCAAAGTAGAAGGAAGTTGTTTATGTTTATGTTCTTAACTAGTATGAAAATAGGCAAGTAGCTGTGGGGTATTCTATGGAATGGTGAATCAAAAGTAAAGGNATCAAAGTAGAAGGAAGTTGCGTATATTTATGTTCTTAACTAGTATGAAAATAGGCAAGTAGCTGTGGGGTATTCTATGGAANACCAAAGTAGAAGGAAGTTGTTTATGTTTATGTTCTTAACTAGTATGAAAATAGGCAAGTAGCTGTGGGGTATTCTATGGAATGGTGAATCAAAAGTAAAGGGAATTTGAATTGTTTGCTGCTTCAAAATGTAAAGGTGCTGATTGGTTCTGGTTGTGTTCTTCTAGAGTGTTTCTGTAAAATAATTACTGTGAGGTGGTCTGTAACAAACTTAGTACTCCTACAAAGAAAGAGCCAGGTCTCTGCATGCTTCAACTACTACAAAGTTGCCTATATTTACTTTGGAAAAGGACTTGAGAGACTTTGATTTGCCCTTATGTTGCATTTCCATCGAGCTTTTGTGGAAGAATCCAAACCCGAAGATTTTTAAGTTGATAAATGATAATGGAAAATTGGCTTGTCACTGAAAATCTGATGCGGAGAGTAGAAAAAGTTTACTGGGCTTGGTTCTGTTAAAATAATATTCTACTAAACTGGTTTAATAGTAAGCGATAAAAGTTGGTTCTTTTGACGTCATATTCATAATCAGACACATTATAAGTGAGGACACGTTAGTTATGCATGAAAAATTTAATGTATAATAATTTTATTAATTTACCCTTTGTACCCCACAAGTTTTGGTTAATTAGACTTTTACTTGAGAACATTTTTTTTCTCTCGTGAACTAACGTGCATTAATCTAGTTATGTGATTGAACCTTATTTCATAAGCAGTTAAAGATGAGACATGTTCAACTGGGGTATCTGGTGTGAAAAGGTAATTTGGCTCCTTCCCTAATCCTATAGGAGAGTGAAAGCCCAATTGATTTGGCTCCTATGTAGTTCAAGACTTTTAGCTAGGAGAGGGCTTTTGAGGAGAGAACAAGAGCTTCAACAGATTCAACGAGTTGGTTAAAAAAATACATTCTGGTTCTTGATAAATAACACTTGTTTTTTGTGGAAAGACCACGCTCGAGTCGAAATGCTATAGTAGGTGAGCAACCCGATTTCTTCATCAGCAAATGACTAATCTTGTCCAGTAACCAGTTTTTGTGGGGGTGTACGAGACTAAGCAAAACTTACTAGATTCTCAATAAAGAACTAGTGGTCCTTATATTTTGTAAATATGGTCAAAAAAAAAAATCTCTATTCCATAGGCTTCTTCCTTGGGCACAATTATGAGATTTTTTTATAATATTAGACTCTCCAAGCACCTGGGCAACATATTATTTTTTTACCAACAGCATCCGTGTCAAAGTTCATTCTGATGTGTGTGCTCGCATGCATGCATAGATTTTTTTTTTTTTTGGGGGTGGAGGTTGTACATGAGGAAAGTGATGACAAAATTCTGATGGGAAGGGAAAGTGGGGTGGACTGTATCTGCAACTGATTACAGGCAAGAATGGTCCATGTGCCTCTGGGCCAAATATCTTATACTGATTGATGAGTGGTAGTAGTAATTTATTCAAGTGAGGCAATGTGATATCATCATGTATGTAGTTTCCATCGTGCAATCTGCTTGTAGGAAGCACCTGCCATCGTTAGGTCTGTTTATGACAAAAGAATAGTTGGATGGTCTGGCGGTGAGGGTGGTGAGAATTAAAAGTATCATTTGCTTTTTGCTTGCTTTCTTTATAATCAAGCAAAACAGTTTTTTGAATACAGTACATTGTATTACAGATAATTAGAAATGCTTGATTGATTAACAATGCCATAGACACATTTAATTATATATCTTGAGTTGTGGATAATGTCTAGGTTTTAAGTTCCGAGTCTTCCCAAAGATGCCTTGCTTATTCCTCAGTTGATTACGTGCATATCGAGTTTACGTTGTATTGAATACTCCAAATGGCGCGTGACAGGGATGGTTCTTGATTATTAAAACAAAAAAATAAAAAATTGGATCATGGATGACGGCATGAATGTTTTGTTGGAGTGCATCACAATGTTTACTTCTTGGAGCCTTGCAATTGTTTATTTTTTTAATTTCAACTCTTTGATAGTATCGAAGCAATTGTCCAAACAGGTTAAGTATGGGGCAATAGACAACCCAAGGTGCTGAGGGTTGTCCAATGCAGTTCAACTTTGGGACCATCTATAACTTAATCCTCTGTGTATATCTCTTCTTGTATCAGAAGACATCACCACTTCTTATGCATCAATGACCATTTCAGCACGCCGGCAACTCTGATCTGTTGAATGGTTCATAGATAGTTAAAATGATGACAGAAATTCAGAATTTCGGTTCTCTCCCAGTGGCGAAGTACCACCATCTGTAAAAATCTGAACAACCTAGACTTGAATCTCTCTTTTCCAATTGTTGTACATTCAGAAACTAAACGATGACAACAGTTCGGTTCCTCGATACCATAATCGAGTGTCTGTCTGAAGCCCAATCTGACTCGGATCAAATTCAACAAAAAGCTCTCCAAACTTTAGGTTCCATCACAAAAGTTAGTCCCCAGAACAGGAACTTGCTTGCACAAACAGGTGGTGCCATACCTTCCCTACTCACCCTGCTGAAATTTTCATCCCCTACCATCCAGACTCTCTCACTATCCATCCTCTTCAACCTCTCTCTAAACCCTAATCTAAAACAGTCCCTCGCAGACATGGAAACCATCAGTCACCTCAACTTCGTAATTCTCTCTCCAAGCTCCCCAGAATCGAGCATACTAGCCGCTTCTTTGATCTGTAGCTTGGCTATGTTAGACAAGAACAAGGCCAAATTTGGGGTAGCAGGTACAATTCAGTCATTGGTAAAGGCAGTTTCAGGACCACGCGGTCCTGCAGCCCATCACCTCCTCAGCTCTCTGGCCGAGCTTGTGCAGTTCCATGGGAACTGCACAGTAGCAGTCCGATCAGGAGCTGTCCCTGTGCTAATACAAATAATGAAAAGCACTGATGGTGAGGATCTTGCTGGGACTTCTCTGGCCATCTTGTGTCTCCTTGCTAGGTTTGAAGAAGGGCTAAATGCCTTGATCAAAACAGACCAGATTGTAAGTTTTATGCTAGAGGTGTTGAAGGGGAGGTGCATGCTGAGTAAGGAGGGTGCTGCTGAACTACTCGTTCGCCTTTTCGAAGAAAGAGAAGGTTGCGTGAGAGACGCTTTGAGCCTGCCCGATTTCTCTTATGTGCTAGCTGATCTTTCAGTGAGAGGATCAGGGAGAACCCGAGAGAGGGCGGTTTTGTTGATGAAGAAGATGGTGGAGACTGACTCGGATTCCTATGCGGATGGAAGCCCCATGTTCTTTCAATGGTAGTAAGAGCTTTGTGTTGCTGAAATCTGGAAGGATGCAGCCAAATGAGGCCATGATTGAGCTTTTTTTTCCTACATAACATAGCAGATGTTATGTTCTATAAAGAGTGTGATTATTATGTGCATTCAATTGCTAAAATTTAAAATGTTTAGAGACTGTTGTTTCATTTTCATGTAATCCAATAGCTTCAAGTTACAGACTTGATATTCATTTCCACTAGGATTTTCTATAGCAGAGGGGGACTTCCTGGGACCAGGGAATCCAAAGGTGTATCGAATTATTAATTTTTGGTATCCTACCAAAGCTTATGACAAAATAAAGGTGAGATTTCGACTCTGTTCGGGGAGATTAATACAAAATGAGATTGTTCGCTAATATTTCAAATTGACTTATTACAACTGAGTTTGGGGAGACTACTACAAAAGGGGGGGTTTTCTCTAATATTTTAAATTGACTTTATTGAGTCGTAATCCGTCTTTTCTAGTTGTAATTTAACCCGACACAAAAACCTTAATTTTACTCTTTTTGTGCCAATTCCCCGGAGGTTTGGTCACCAAGACTAAGCAAATTAACCAACTTTACAAGTTTTAGCAAAGACAAATGGAACAAATGCAGGCCTTACCCGAGCTAGGATATGGTCAAGAACCACACAATGAATAAATACATTTTTAATAATTTTCTCAAACCAATAAATTAATATTTTAGAAAATCATTAGATCACTCCCCCCTAATCTACATCGCCTTGCTCTACTTTGTTAAAAAGTCAAATTCACTATTTACAAGCAATGCTAGGAATCTCAAGTGAATAGGGACCCTTTGATTAGTAGGTCGGGTAACTTTTTTCAAGCATGCGTTGTCCCACAATCTTACTAATAATTGTTGAAAGAATAAGATTATGAACAGATTAATGGAGAAAAGTTGATGGTCTCTATTTAGTTCGGTTAGGGGGCGGCCCAAGGTCAAGCGNTTGAATCTCTCTTTTCCAATTGTTGTACATTCAGAAACTAAACGATGACAACAGTTCGGTTCCTCGATACCATAATCGAGTGTCTGTCTGAAGCCCAATCTGACTCGGATCAAATTNTCGAATCTCTCTTTTCTAATTGTTGTACATTCAGAAACTAAACGATGACAACAGTTCGGATCCTCGATACCATAATCGAGTGTCTGTCTGAAGCCCAATCTGACTCGGATCAAATTCAACAAAAAGCTCTCCAAACTTTAGGTTCCATCACAAAAGTTAGTCCCCAGAACAGGAACTTGCTTGCACAAACAGGTGGTGCCATACCTTCCCTACTCACCCTGCTGAAATTTTCATCCCCTACCATCCAGACTCTCTCACTATCCATCCTCTTCAACCTCTCTCTAAACCCTAATCTAAAGCAGTCCCTCGCAGACATGGAAACCATCAGTCACCTCAACTTCGTAATTCTCTCTCCAAGCTCCCCAGAATCGAGCATACTAGCTGCTTCTTTGATCTGTAGCTTGGCTATGTTAGACAAGAACAAGGCCAAATTTGGGGTAGCAGGTACAATTCAGTCATTGGTAAAGGCAGTTTCAGGACCACGCGGTCCTGCAGCCCATCACCTCCTCAGCTCTCTGGCCGAGCTTGTGCAGTTCCATGGGAACTGCACAGTAGCAGTCCGATCAGGAGCTGTCCCTGTGCTAATACAAATAATGAAAAGCACTGATGGTGAGGATCTTGCTGGGACTTCTCTGGCCATCTTGTGTCTCCTTGCTAGGTTTGAAGAAGGGCTAAATGCCTTGATCAAAACAGACCAGATTGTAAGTTTTATGCTAGAGGTGTTGAAGGGGAGGTGCATGCTGAGTAAGGAGGGTGCTGCTGAACTACTCGTTCGCCTTTTCGAAGAAAGAGAAGGTTGCGTGAGAGACGCTTTGAGCCTGCCCGATTTCTCTTATGTGCTAGCTGATCTTTCAGTGAGAGGATCAGGGAGAACCCGAGAGAGGGCGGTTTTGTTGATGAAGAAGATGGTGGAGACTGACTCGGATTCCTATGCGGATGGAAGCCCCATGTTCTTTCAATGGTAGTAAGAGCTTTGTGTTGCTGAAATCTGGAAGGATGCAGCCAAATGAGGCCATGATTGAGCTTTTTTTTCCTACATAACATAGCAGATGTTATGTTCTATAAAGAGTGTGATTATTATGTGCATTCAATTGCTAAAATTTAAAATGTTTAGAGACTGTTGTTTCATTTTCATGTAATCCAATAGCTTCAAGTTACAGACTTGATATTCATTTCCACTAGGATTTTCTATAGCAGAGGGGGACTTCCTGGGACCAGGGAATCCAAAGGTGTATCGAAGTATTAATTTTTGGTATCCTACCAAAGCTTATGACAAAATAAAGGTGAGATTTCGACTCTGTTCGGGGAGATTAATACAAAATGAGATTGTTCGCTAATATTTCAAATTGACTTATTACAACTGAGTTTGGGGAGACTACTACAAAAGGGGGGGTTTTCTCTAATATTTTAAATTGACTTTATTGAGTCGTAATCCGTCTTTTCTAGTTGTAATTTAACCCGACACAAAAACCTTAATTTTACTCTTTTTGTGCCAATTCCCCGGAGGTTTGGTCACCAAGACTAAGCAAATTAACCAACTTTACAAGTTTTAGCAAAGACAAATGGAACAAATGCAGGCCTTACCCGAGCTAGGATATGGTCAAGAACCACACAATGAATAAATACATTTTTAATAATTTTCTCAAACCAATAAATTAATATTTTAGAAAATCATTAGATCACTCCCCCCTAATCTACATCGCCTTGCTCTACTTTGTTAAAAAGTCAAATTCACTATTTACAAGCAATGCTAGGAATCTCAAGTGAATAGGGACCCTTTGATTAGTAGGTCGGGTAACTTTTTTCAAGCATGCGTTGTCCCACAATCTTACTAATAATTGTTGAAAGAATAAGATTATGAACAGATTAATGGAGAAAAGTTGATGGTCTCTATTTAGTTCGGTTAGGGGGCGGCCCAAGGTCAAGCGGTATATTTTATTTTTAATTATTATAATTTTTTTTATGTTTTAAAAAAATATTTTTTATTTTTTTAAAAATTTAAAATATTGATCAAGTTTTTACACTCAAGTTTTGACAATAATTTTTTTAATAGATAATATTGTTAATTCATTTGCTCCAAGTTCATTGTAAACAAAATTTCATCAATTTAAGTTTTCAACAAATAATTTAATAATAAAATATGTGAGTAAAGAGTAATTTTAAGATAACNGACCAGGGAATCCAAAGGTGTATCGAAGTATTAATTTTTGGTATCCTACCAAAGCTTATGACAAAATAAAGGTGAGATTTCGACTCTGTTCGGGGAGATTAATACAAAATGAGATTGTTCGCTAATATTTCAAATTGACTTATTACAACTGAGTTTGGGGAGACTACTACAAAATGGGGGGTTTTCTCTAATATTTTAAATTGACTTTATTGAGTCGTAATCCGTCTTTTCTAGTTGTAATTTAACCCGACACAAAAACCTTAATTTTAATCTTTTTGTGCCAATTCCCCGGAGGTTTGGTCACCAAGACTAAGCAAATTAACCAACTTTACAAGTTTTAGCAAAGACAAATGGAACAAATGCAGGCCTTACCCGAGCTAGGATATGGTCAAGAACCACACAATGAATAAATACATTTTTAATAATTTTCTCAAACCAATAAATTAATATTTTAGAAAATCATTAGATCACTCCCCCCTAATCTACATCGCCTTGCTCTACTTTGTTAAAAAGTCAAATTCACTATTTACAAGCAATGCTAGGAATCTCAAGTGAATAGGGACCCTTTGATTAGTAGGTCGGGTAACTTTTTTCAAGCATGCGTTGTCCCACAATCTTACTAATAATTGTTGAAAGAATAAGATTATGAACAGATTAATGGAGAAAAGTTGATGGTCTCTATTTAGTTCGGTTAGGGGGCGGCCCAAGGTCAAGCGGTATATTTTATTTTTAATTATTATAATTTTTTTTATGTTTTAAAAAAATATTTTTTATTTTTTTAAAAATTTAAAATATTGATCAAGTTTTTACACTCAAGTTTTGACAATAATTTTTTTAATAGATAATATTGTTAATTCATTTGCTCCAAGTTCATTGTAAACAAAATTTCATCAATTTAAGTTTTCAACAAATAATTTAATAATAAAATATGTGAGTAAAGAGTAATTTTAAGATAACGAAGAATTATTCTTTATCTATGAGTAATGTGCACTTATGAAGTACAAAACTTTAATAGCATAAACAATTTAAGTACAAATTATTTGGACTAAAAATTTATATTAAGACAAAAAAAGAACTAATTTTATAGATTTTCACCACAAGAAATAATGAATATAAATTTTTTATGTGAGTGAGTGAAATACAATTATGAACACATCCAAAATATTTAGAAAAATTTAAATCAAAGCTCACACGAAGGAGTAATTTTGGACCCAAAAAAAATTAGATATTGATTTGAACTATTAAAATTTGAGCCATAGAAATTTGAATCATATCTAAAATACAAAAAATAAAAATAAAAATAACTATTATACTAAAGTGGTAAATTTTATGGAGGCCTCTAAAATTTGGGGTTAACTAAGTAGAGAGTAAATTTGAACCTAATAAAATTAGATACTGATTTAAACTAATAANATAAAAATGACTATTATACTAAAGTGGTAAATTTTAAGGAGGCCTCTAAAATTTGGGGTTAACTAAGTAGAGAGTAAATTTGAACCTAATAAAATTAGATACTGATTTAAACTAATAAAATTTGGGCCCTAAAAATTTTAATAATATCTAAAATATAAAATAAAACAAAAAAAATTAGGCCTATTACAATAAAGGGATAAATATTAGGGGGTCCTCTAAAATTAGTTGCCTAAGAGTTGGGCCGACCGACCTTGAGTTCGGTTCTAGATGAGATCAAGTATAAATTCTAGTTCATTTAGTCCATCTAATCACTAATATCAAGAAGGGTAGATTAGTAGCCGATGCTCCCGATATTATTGGTCAGCTACAAATAACCTTATCTCCACTTGCAGAAACACTGCTTGTAGAGCTCCAACCTATGAATTTATGGTTACAATGTGAATACATGTTCTCATCTAAATTTCGATATACCCCAATAATTAAAAAATTTTAAAAATAATAATTATCTCGTTAATTACTATTTTGTTTTAGCCTNTACTACAAAAGGGGGGGTTTTCTCTAATATTTTAAATTGACTTTATTGAGTCGTAATCCGTCTTTTCTAGTTGTAATTTAACCCGACACAAAAACCTTAATTTTAATCTTTTTGTGCCAATTCCCCGGAGGTTTGGTCACCAAGACTAAGCAAATTAACCAACTTTACAAGTTTTAGCAAAGACAAATGGAACAAATGCAGGCCTTACCCGAGCTAGGATATGGTCAAGAACCACACAATGAATAAATAAATTTTTAATAATTTTCTCAAACCAATAAATTAATATTTTAGAAAATCATTAGATCACTCCCCCCTAATCTACATCGCCTTGCTCTACTATGTTAAAAAGTCAAATTCACTATTTACAAGCAATGCTAGGAATCTCAAGTGAATAGGGACCCTTTGATTAGTAGGTCAGGTAACTTTTTTCAAGCATGCGTTGTTCCACAATCTTACCAATAATTGTTGAAAGAATAAGATTATGAACAGATTAATAGAGAAAAGTTGATGGTCTCTATTTAGTTCGGTTAGGGGGCGGCCCAAGGTCAAGCGGTATATTTTATTTTTAATTATTATAATTTTTTTTATGTTTTAAAAAAATATTTTTTATTTTTTTAAAAATTTAAAATATTGATCAAGTTTTTACACTCAAGTTTTGACAATAATTTTTTTAATAGATAATATTNATGGGGGGTTTTCTCTAATATTTTAAATTGACTTTATTGAGTCGTAATCCGTCTTTTCTAGTTGTAATTTGACCCGACACAAAAACCTTAATTTTACTCTTTTTGTGCCAATTCCCCGGAGGTTTGGTCACCAAGACTAAGCAAATTAACCAACTTTACAAGTTTTAGCAAAGACAAATGGAACAAATGCAGGCCTTACCCGAGCTNTGATGATGGAATTATGATTGAAGTTGGGTTCACGTTGAACTTGAACTTATTTTGAGGGTTGTGTTGGAGTGCAAATTTGTACAATTGACTAATAAATTACCATAAGATTGTTATAATCTAATTACCAACTATATAATGATAAGCTGTGAAACTAATGCCAACATTGTGATCTTTTCGGAGTACATTGGTGTACAACTAATACAATGAAATCAATGTTACAAGCAAAAAAGACAAGAATAGTTTATCCATACTATAGTCAGAGGAAAAAACCCGAAGAAAAGCCAAAAAGAAAGGCACAATAGACTCCTAAAAAAAAAAAGACGTGAGAAATCTATCATTTGTTTATGTTTTTGACATTTTATGAATTTTGTTTTTATCAAATTTAATAACAAAAACGATGAAATTCAAACAAGTGACATAAGGTCCAACTCCAACGGGTTGGTCAGACGTTTGTCCAGCAAAAAGAGGTAGGCAGAGAAAGGTGCTCCAGGTTCGAAGGGCATTTTGGTCATGTGGAGCAAAAAACAAAAAACAAGTAACCATTTTTGAATTTTCTTTAGCTTCTTTTTGCTCTCTATTTGTTTTTCTTAGGCCCAGAGCACACGAGCCAAGAAAATCTTGCAGGTTGGGAAAGGGGGAGAGAAACAGAGAGAGATAGAGAAGTGGGAAAGAGAGAAAGGTAGTATATAGAGAGAGGGACAGAGACGAAAGTGAAAAGTCAATATACTTTTGATTTGTTCACCCCGAGACCCTAAGTCCAGGTTGGTGCAAAAAGCTAAAACCCCACTTTGCTTTCTCACCTTTGAATTCAATATTCATATGCGATCTTTACTATATGTGCAAAGTCATACTAAACTTGGTTAGCTGTTTACTTCCTTTATTCACATGAGCTTTTGAACTTCTAGATTTGTGCTTTATGGGTATCAATCAATCATATCTAAAGTTTTAATCTTT